AAAAAAAAAAAAAAAAAATTACCGGTGTTAGCTTGCTAAAAAATGCAATTGAAGAGAATAATAAATGGAACAAAACGCAAAACGACAGAAAGAATGAAGAAAAATGTAATGCCAAAGTTGAAAGATAAAATAAAAAAACTTTAAAATATTGTAATTTAATTCCAAGAAAAATCTATAAGCAAATAAGCCAGGCAGTTTGGTTTGAAAACCAAATATACGTAAGCGGTGAAGGGAATTTCTCCGTTTTTGCCCGATGATTCAGTTGCAATTCCTCAGAGCGCAACCAAGAGTGCCCCTAAGCCTCTGTGATCAAAATTAGCAACCACTGCAGAATGCCAAAAGCCAACAAGTCATCCAGCACAAACTTGCTTCTTGCTGCCCCATGTCTCATTCCCGCAACACTAACCACAATACTACTACTATTACCGTTTAAAGTAGCCTTACAGTTGCTGAAACAAACGCCTCATATTTCAAAACTCAACACCTCCACTAATAATATCATTGATATCGCTACGTCTACCACATTTAACATTACCACTTGTAATATCAAAAAATTCACTTATCCTCTAAGAAAAACAATCAGAAAAATAAAAAAAAGAAAATCGAACTAGAGCAACTATACATTCACTATTTCTTTAAAATAAGCTGTAGCAGTGAGGGAAAGATCGGTAAATTCTAAGCGAACAGCGACTTTTATTTAACCTATGGCTTCAACTACTCAAAATCAATAATGTTCCTCACTTAGACAAATATAATTCTAAACCAAGGCTAAAACTGCAGAAACCTTCCAGGCCCTAAAATTATAAAATAAAAAAATTAATTGATGATGAGTTATGAAGCAATTCTGAAACAACCTAATAAGAAGAAAAATCCAATCTTTTAAGATCTTTAAAAAAACTTTCAATTAATCAAAAAAATGTCAAAGTTAATCAGTTTTCTGAGCAAGTAAAATTCTTTAATCAACAAACTCATTTTCCCATTAAAAGCTTTGAATAATATTCTCGCCTTCTCTTCCGTATTTGGAAGGGTAGTAACATTCATCAATAACAGTTCTCATTCAACAACAACAACAGTCAATAAGAAAATAAAATACTTATTGTTTAGTTTTACCACCCTAAACCGCATAGGCATCCACTGTAAATGAGTATTAATGCAGTAAAGTAAAGAAGTAACAGATCAAGTTGAGTGCTTTGCCAGACTGCAGACCTGAGCACTGTCCAAGTCACTTGCTAATGCTTTTAATAATTTTAGTTCATAATAGCTTTCACTAAGCACAAAACAGTGCTGACGCATTACAACCTGATTAGTCATGTTTCTATTAATTTATATTCCGCTTGAAAAAGTTACCAAGTAGAACTGACAAAGAATTAGCAAAAACAAATTAAAAAATTACGGTGGAACAGCAGAAAAAAGAGCTGAACGAGATGTAAGAGCAAGTAAGGTAAAAAAAGTTATTTATAATCAGAAGTACCAAACACCAACTAAAAATCAACGTTTTATAAAAAAATGAAATTACGTAAAAAACAGAAAAAAAATGACAACAATATTACGGGTTTAATACACCGGAGACAAACTAAAATTAAGCTCCTTAATTAATGATAGTGCTGAAGTTAAGAAAGCAC